GACAACTTTTCTACATGGAGAATTGAAAGAAGAAATCTATATGAAGCAACCCGAGAGGTTTGTTGTTCCTGATAAGGAGCACTTAGTTTGTCAGTTGGAGATATCTTTCTATAGCCTTAAACAAGCTTCTCGATAATAGTATAAAAGATTTGATTATTTTTATTGTTAGGTAAAGTTATTCTAGAAGTCAATTTGATGACTGTGCTTATTTTAGAAAATTTCTAAAGGGGTCTTTTATCTACCTATATTGGAAACTCAACTCAGTAATGAGTTTGACATGAATAAATTGGGTGCAGCTAAGAAAATTTTTGGCATAGAGATCGTCAAGCAGGAAAATTGTTCTTATCACAAAAGAAGTATATTGAAAGAGTACTTGAAAAGTTTAATATGAACAATTACAAACTTGTTTCTACCTCGCTTGCTGCACATTTCAAATTATCTTTAGACCTTTGCCCACAAACAGAAGAAGAGAAAGAGAAAATGTCAAACATTTCTTATGCTAGTGCAATTGGTAACCTTATGTATGTAAATATGTGACTATTGTTTAGTTTAATTTTTAACCACAATTTAATTTATAATTTGCATTTATTGTTGTAGACTATATAAGCATTTGTAATATAGTTTACAAATTAATTCATTTAGAGAAACAATTCTTATTGTCCCAGCTAATCTTTTATGATTTTTTTTTTTTGAGAATACAATTTACATTTTATAATTCTTTAATTATTTATGATTTCATACTTTTTGCATGGCACATTATTTTATATATATAGTATGTATAGCGCATAAACTTTAATATTATTTAATATGTACATTCGTACGTATCATTAATTACACGCTATTTGTAATTTTTTTAAATTTAATTTTAGTTTTTGGTTTAATATTTTAGTCCCTGAAATTTCTTTAGCCCCTTAAACTCTAGCCGTAAGTAATGGTTGGAATGGACGAACTTAACGACCTAGCCGGTTGGTACAAAAGTGACCAGTGGCAGCGGCAGAAAGTTCACTTCCATGTGGGTTTCCGACAAAAGTTAAAAAAGGAAAAGCCGCTCTTTTCCTTTCAGGCCCAACACTTTTTTTGTCTTAATATTTTTGTCAAAATTTGTCAACTGAAAGATTAAATGGATTAGAACCGTTTCGCAAAGGCCCCATTATGTGTTGATAAACCTTTTCAGCCCAAAAATAAAATTAACTGGGTCTAAAGTTGATGTTTTCAATGAATGAGAGAAGCCATTATTTGACCCATATTAAGAGTTTACTTCATCGACTCGTCTAAATTAGAATAAGCATTATATTTCAAGAGTTTATCAAAACTGGATTCCCAGCCTTTTAAACATAAATGGTGAAACTTTATGTCCAATCTAATTACTAGTTTTCCAATTATTTAAGTCTTAAATCATTTATAAGTGATAAGTTCATGAAAGCAATATATAAATAAATTACTAAACGAAGAACAAGTGCTAATTTTAGCACCCATCAAATTTCAAATAATTTCAAAAAGAGGTCCATCAAACTACAAAAAAAATTACAAATTTTAATTAGAAAAGGTTCTTGATTGTTTCCAAGTTCCTCAATACTCCTCCACCAAACCAATTTTTGAATGCCTCCAAGAACTAATAAAAAAATCTCCCAAAAATTATCATATTTAATTTAACTACGCTGAACTTCGAGCGTCTATTTTCATGTTATTACTCCATGTTTGTTGCTGTGTTCATTATACTATTCCGATTAAAAAATCAACGAAGCTGCAATAGTAGTTAATTTGATGACATTACCGACAAGGTTAATTATATTATGATGATCACAGAATTCCAAAATCCAGTCAGTCCTTGAAACAATTGAATTGGGTATGATTTTTTACCAAAATGGTAGCGATTGATATCTGAACAAAACCCACTAAAAACCTGAAATACTATTGTTGCATGCAATAAGGCCACGTGTCCATACTAGCTTCGATGCTTTTTCCCTAGACAGAATAAGTACCCGTATCATGTATCAATCTCCAGCTAGTATCTATCTGCATATACGAACCAGTTCTTTTTGACTCATCCACCATGTGGAATGCCTTTTCCCCAAATCAGCGTCACATCTCATCTCATTAGAGACCACTGTTCGTGGAACGTTATTCATAGGAGGAATCAGGAAAGTGCAGAGTTTAACGGATGATCAAAGAAACACAGGAAAAAACATATAAATAGAAGAACAACACAATAAAAATTGTTATTTAAATGAATAAAAATATTTTTTTAAAAAGTTTAACATATTTTTTGTTATATTATTTTTATTAATATAGAAATCATTTATTATTTTTTATATAAAAATAAGATAAATTTTAAACACTTGAAACGAAAAAAATTCCTTAACTTTTCTTTTCCTCGTACTTATACTCATTCATATAATAAAAAAGATATTTTCTTCTCACTTATTTCTCTCAACCAAATACAAAATTAATCGAAAGCTATGTAGCAGCAAACAAGAATTCAACATATGTTTCGGTTGATTTAGTTTAAATTTAAAAGATTATACTGAAAAAAAGTTTTTTTTTCCCAAATTCAAAATTCACTTTTTCAGAGCTTACACAAACTGGTTAATTTATACATGTTTTATAATTTTTCTCAGGTAACATGTTTAGAATTATTATATTAAAGAATGACAAAATTACTCATCATTTTATCCAAACAACATTCCATGCAATCGTAGTTTGAGTGTCACAAACATTATTGCTAGCAAAACAAACAGACAAGATGTTGTCATGGGGTTCAATATATCGTATTAAATGAAAATTAGCAAATTCAGATCACAAGAGTGATGGCTTTAAAGTACATACATGCATGCTACACATAAGTAGATATTTCACATGGTAAAATAACTTATGTATCCTTGTCAGTAGATGACGGGGCTAGCTAGGAATGAGACTAGTGACTAGTGACTAGTGAGGCTATAAAAGTGTATGCACCGAATTAATATGGCTAATATAGTCTCCATGCGTAACCAAATGCGGCACGGGTCGGTTGGAAAGCTCTGCCCTTTGTTCTATTAACCACAAAAGAAAAAGAGGAAAGCCGTGTTTGAAGCTAACTGAGGACAAGTCAACACAAGGGGCTGCAGACGATGATGTGATGTACAGTACACAAGATTTCCTATCCCCTACCTTCCAAATTCAATCTTAACAACTTTCTTCCCAACATTACTATTTGTACTATTAATATCAAGAACAAATATAATACTATTTTTCTGATTCTTCCTTCTTGCCATTCATGCTCATGTTGCCGGATGCAGAGTCAGTGCAGTTCCATACGGAAATTGTATTTTATATTTAGGCAAAATTTTATATTTTTACTTAAATAAAAATATGTTGATTTAAATAAAAAATAAAACTTTCATAAAAAAGTTTAGAAAGAACTTATAATATATAAAAATATAAGTTTTATTTTCAGTCTGTATCTAAAAAAAGACTTCAAACTAAATAGAAGTCTTTATTTTACTTAATGTTTTTTTTTAGCATTAGAGTAAAAGATTACTGTCAAAAATTTTCTTTTTGATACCAGCATGTTGTTATAGGGTGTTGAAAGTATGATTCTCACTATTTTTCTAAAACTAATTTGTTCTCAAAAATGCCAATTGGTATTAAAATTTGGAATGCAAATTCCATATTGCCCACCAGCCTTGGCTCCTGTGAAACTGGCATCCAATTTCAAGCAAGTGTTTTTATCTGGTTCCCACTAGAAGATTCAATCGCGTCAGAACTATAAAGCCTTTTCATCCACCCAAATTAAAAAATTTAATTGATTGGTTAGTCTAAATTAATAAATACCAACTGTTCCATGTTGCTGTTGTATATAATTATTAATTTGATTACTTTATTACTTACACATGCAATTATATTACTGTAATTCGAGAGTTTGCACGACAGTGTTATTTTATTATTTATGGATAATATTAAATATTATAGTTTTAATGAAAAATAATTATTAGTTAAATTTTTATTATATATCTTTCGACAGAAATTTAAAAGATTAATTGTTAATTTTTGTAACAATGAGGTCCCATCATCGTTTTTGGTCAAACCAATTAGTCTCCTCTGCTGTAATAGTTGTAGCACACACCATACGACCACATGCAAGTTTCAGCTGCATGCCCAATTGAAAGACTACACCACTGTCTGATAGGCCATTTCTACTTTCTCATCTGTTGAACCCAATTCATTATCGTCCTCCGTTTCTTTAATTATGAGTCTCGCTGGCGACTGTCATAAAAGTAAGCATTAATATATTTGTTAAATAAGTGCAATTATTTTAAAATATCAAATAACTTTTGTGTTTATAATATTGTGATAAAGATATTGGTTTAGAACGTACGATTTTGTTAATTTGACCATAACAAATTTTCTTTGATCCCTGTGTTCTCCTCAGTGACGTCTTTACCTCTAGAATGTGATAATTCAATTTTCCTATCTTTCTCAAGAATCTCCGAGTATAGACGTAACCAGGAAAATAAGAAGCCCAAATCTTGAAAAATAAAATAGAAAGAAGGGTTGAGGAATCCTTCAAGACCCTTAATGCAATCAAGCCACGCGTCAGCTTTCCCCAACACCTGTTACTTGAAGAATTTCAACATGATTACTTTTCTTGTCGGATCTCTTGAAATATCTCTCCTTCAATCCATGTTGTCTAACCAAAATAAAAAAAATGATAGATATGTAGAGGAATCTGCTATTATCATCTCTTGAAACACTTTTCTTGAAATATCACTTCGACACATTAGTATTTTTTAGAATTTAAATGAAATATGCTAATTCTATATACTATGTTTATTTATTTAGTTAGTTAACAGCTTTACATTCTGCACTATTATCAAATAAAATTGTTAATATAAAACTCAGAAAAGAAAAGGAAAACAGACTAATAATCTGCCTTAGAATGGCATGTCAACATCCTGGCCCTATAAAATAATACGTGCCCCTCCAAGAAAGACTGTGTGTGTTTATATGGGTGTATCAACATGTCATATTGTCACCCATGTAGGTAGCAGCAGAATTGGAAACCAACTAAAGCATTTTTTTAATTATTTTTTGGAGAGGTAGTCCGTTTTACTACGAACAACAATATTATAAATATGTCTCTTGGCCCTGTTAAAAATTTAAGACAGAGAATCTAGCAAGCTAGTAGAAAATAAGAGAGTGTTTATTTGATTAAGATCACACCACCGAGACAGAGTGAAACAGAAAATCAAGGCAGAGAATCAGAGATAGAGAGATGAGGGTGTTTCCGATGTTCAAATATTTTTCTAGAGCCGTGCATGAGGAACAAGAACGTGAGCATGACGATGAGGAGAAAAACGTTGTAGGAAGCTTGTGCACATCCCGAACAGTTTGGAGAAAATCGCTGGTGATGAGTTGCAAAGGATTCACGGTGTTTGATTCTTATGGAGATTTGGTGTATAGGGTCGATAATTATATTGGGCGCCCCAATGAAGTCATTCTCATGGATGCCTCAGGAAAACCCATCCTCACTATGTGCCGCCGCAGGGTATCTCTTAATTCTTTATGCCATCATTTATCACCCAATTACTTTTCCTTCATTCTTTTTGTATATTAAATATATAAACAAATACCTCTCTATATAATCAAACTTAACGGCAGAGTTTGTAAGATCCATAAAAAATACTTGTTAGAAAATGTTATAAAAAGTCTTTACTTTCAATTTACGAGTGTCTGATTAGTAAGATCCATAGATTAATACCAGTTTGTTGTGACAATGACGATTGTGTTCTTTATTATTAATAATAATAATAGTTTATTGCTTGTGATTGACAATATGCAGAAGCTTGGATTGTTAGATAGCTGGTTTATGTATGAAGGGGAATTGGGGAACCAGCGTACGAGGAGTAGTAGCTTGTCCAAGTCATCAAGGAGTCCAATTTGTTGTGTAAGGAAGCATGTGAATCTTTTACATGGCAACTCCAACATTCAGGCGTACGTGTATCGTGGAGATTCACATTCAGATAAACGGTGTGCTGCTTTTGTTATAGAGGGTTCATACGCACATCGAACATGTAAGGTGTTGGATGAGTGCAAAAGGGTCGTAGCTGAAACAAAGAGGAAGGAAGCCAACACCAAAAACGTCTCTTTTGGGATAGAGATTTTTCAGTTAATTGTGCATCCTGGCTTTGATCATGCCTTCGCCATGGCACTCGTCTTACTCCTCGATCAAATGTTTTCGTGACACTTCTCTTTACCCATATAAGCTTTCTATTTCATGTATTGTTAATATTTTGAGATGGAGCATACATTTCAAATTTTGATATTTTTGTTAAATGCATTTTAGATCATCGTGGTCTTGAGAGAGATAATAAATAAATGATGCAAAGGAAAACTCAATTGAATAGGCCTAGTTCTATTTCAGTCTTTCAGACTATTGGTTTATTGTTGGATTAAACCAAGTTATCAGATTAAATCTTTCAAGCTGGTAACAGTGATACAAATGCAGTTTGTTTATACTAATTTCCCCTGCATGCAAAACGAAATTCATTATATGCCTGTGATTTATTGAGATGAATAGGCAAATACATAATGACCCAGGAGTTAAAAGCTAATACTAATTTTCCTACTTTCTGTTGACCAACATAAGCCTTGCCATCAGCAGGGGGCATCTAACTTTGCTGCTTAGTATACTTGCACCTGAATGTTTGTTTTCCCAAAATTTATGGGATGTTTTATTTTATATCACCTTGTTCATTGGCTGCATAGGGGTTAAATATTTTGCAGGTTTTAATACTGTCAAAAATTTTCAACCTACGTGGATTGTAATAAAAGAACCATTTTAAATTTTTTAATATTATTTTATAAAAACTACAGTTGCTACCATTTACTACTAATATTTATTGAATGTTAAGTGGATTTATCTGTTGAAATTTTTGGAATTGATAATGATAGTTAAAACAGTTAAATTGAACCAAATAAAATGGGATCTAAATCCTATGCAATTTTTTCATAAATTTCTAAATTAAATTTTCTTAAGCTAAATTTGTGAAAAAATTTAAAAATTTATCTTCTTTTCTAAATTACATAAAATTTAAAAAATATTTATTTCTTATTAATAATTAATTAATTATTAAAAAAATTTATATATATCATTTATTAAATATTTTAAATGTATTATCTAATGTGTTATTTGTACTAAACATTAGTGAAATAAAATTATTTAAAATTGAGTTAAATTATTGAGAATAATGCTAAGAATTATAGGAATGATGACTTTAAAAAATTGAGTGAGAAATAGTTGTAATATTTTGTGTTCAAAAACTCTTAAATTTTTGTGGCATAATTATAAAGTGTGACTACATAATATTGTATAATTTTTTTTTAAATTTTTTGTAGTTTAAAGAGAAAAAAGATAAAATTTTAAATTTTTTTATAATTTTAGCTTAAGTGAATTTTTTAGCTTAAATAAAATTTTTTTTTTTATCAAATTTATAAAATTAGCTTAAATAAATTTAAATTACAGTTGTAATTCTTATTTAAACTGTAGAAGAATGAGATATAATAAAATACATGAATTGTAAAATTGAATTTATATGAATAAAAATTTAAAATATTTAATTACACATGTTTATAGTATTGAAAAAAAAAACTAAAAAGAAAACATTCATAATTCTAAACGAAAAAAAAATTATGACTAATAAGGTAAAATTAAGCACAAAACAAGCTCATATTGAACCCGGCTTGGACAAACCCCTGCTAAAGTTGAGCACAAGACGTGCTCATAAGAGTTACTTTTTAAAATGTTTATAAAATAATTGTGATTGGCTGAAAATTGGTAAAATATTTGAAAATGACAAAAATAGAAGCACAATAATTTTTTAAAAAAAATTTATGCTATAATATAACATCTCTTCAATCAAACATACAAATTAAAAATAATATAATTAAGAAAAACTTAACAAGTTTAAAGGGTGAAATATTATTTATAATACTATAATATGTTAAATTCTTATAAATAAAATATTAAAATGATAATTTATTAATATATTACTAGATATTACATATAAATGATCCAAAATCATAACAAGAGTAATTTTTTAAGATGTTTATACTATAAATTTGATTGGCTGAAATAAAATTCACAATTTAAATAGAATAGAAATAATAACACTTCAAAATTTTAAAATCACAAAAAACTGAATGTTGATAAATGCGTGAAAATAACATAAATAAAAGCACAATAACATTCCTTTTAAAAAATGATGGTACAGTATAATATTTCTTTTGCTAAAACATACAAATCAGAGATAATATACTAAGTGCTCACATTCCATGAAATCATTCGATTGAGAGACTAAAATACATGGTTGCTTTGAAGTTGGCAAGTCTTGAAGTAGAACAGATCAACTTCTAGCTTTAATAGTATTATCACAGCACTAATAAGCAAGCTTTAGACATGAGTCTTTTTTTTTAAAATTAAATTATTAAATAATATATATATATATATATATATTGAAATTATAAAAATAAAAATACAATTTTTATTAAGAAATATTATGATAAAAATGATTTATTTTAGACTGATTTACAATTTTAATGATTATTTTTATCATAATTTTTTTTCCTTTCATCAAAACATATAAAAAGAAAAAAAAATTCTCCTCTTGTCTCAATTCATCAAAATGACGTAATATTTTTATTCTAATTTTTACTTTTTTTTGTCCACTGTTACATGATTACATTCTTATCCAAACGGGTAATAAAATGAGATTTTACTAATTTGTTTACTCAATTGAGAAGCCTCCCTTAGGCAAAAGGAAACGACGGAGCAGCTATTATCCATCTTGGCAGCTCGGAAAACCCGATGGTGGAAATGAACTCTTCGTCGGCGATGCTACCGCCACCAGATCCCGCGGCCTTCACTGGAACCGGAAACCAGATATCGCCATCGATCGTGAACGCGTATAGAATCAACAAAGTCTTGGACAATTTGGTTTTGTTTGTTCAACCTGGCAACCGACGCGACCCTTACGAATTTTATTGCAATTGCCTCTCCCTCTCTCGGTATTTACACTTTTATCTACTTCCTTTTTCATTTGTCGTTTCTTCTATTGTCGAATTTTAGGTTATTTTTGGTGTTGTGAGCTCTTAAGCTGTAACTTTTTAAGTATTGCGTTTAGTGAACGAGTAGTGAGAATTTACACTCGAAATAGCTCGTGTTCTTCGCTTCTGTTGTGAACATCATAGTGCATGATTTGCCATAAGCTTTGAATTTCGGTTTCTAACTTCTAGCCTCGAGGTAGTAATGAGTATTCATTATCGATAAGACAAAATAAACAGCTCAAAAAATGATATGGATATTTTTTAAGTTTGGATGGAATCCTTGTGTCTTGATGACTTCTTATTAACTACGGTACAACAAATGTGCTGTGTTTTTTTTACTGTATTTAGTTTAATGTATTACAGAGGTATCGATTATGCACTTGCCAATGGAGAAACTCCTGCCAGAGCTCATGATCTGCCTAGATTGATGAAACAGGTGATTTCCATTGCATTGTCTGTGTGCCTCTTTTTCACTTTTTACTTTTTATTATTATTTTTATTTAGGGGTTAGGAATCAGGAAGAAATTCGATCACATGCTTTTAATTACTATGATTGAATGTTTGAGGCCATGACCCTTTCCATGTAGATTTGTCAACAAAAGAGCGATGAATTATTGCAAGCAGCTATAATGGTTTTGATGATCTCTGTGAAGGTAAGCTCATTTTTCCATGTTGTTGCTTGATGCTACCAATTATTTGTTGAATTTTTACTAGTTATGACTCATGAAAACTCACTGTGTTTTTTAGTTCTGGGAAGAAGAACAATTAATTGGTCTAGATGTACATACTTGGATTTGACTACAGGATAATGTGGTGAAAATTTTCAGGAATTGTAACCCACCACATGCAAGAATAATGTTGTTTGAGCTATCAATTTCATGAAGTTTATGTAGATCTTTGAATATGAATACTTTTTAGTTCTTGTATATCATGAGTTACCTAGTTGGATAAGGCTTTTGTTGTTATTGTATATCACAAAGTAAATTTTTTTTCCAATATCACTATGACCAAATAGAGATGTCAGATTTATGCTAGCTTTCTTTGCTTATGTATAATGTGTTTCTCTAAAAACATATGGAAGTTATGCACCGTAACATTTATAAACTTGTACGGACATTCCTTGTTGTTGTAGAGTGCCTGTGAAATTGGATGGTTCCAGACAAAAGAGTCAGAAGAACTTATTACTATTGCTGATGAGGTTTGCTTATATGTTAGGTTTTCTCCTTTGTTGTGTTGGTTTTTTACTATTTTCTTTCATGGTGTAGATAGGAAAGGTCTACAGCAGCTTGGGAAGCATAAATGCTGGACCTAGTTCTTGCAATTCCTCAATATTGACAATAATGGAGAGGTAGGGTCCTAAGAACTTCCTCTACATATTTTCTCTTGCATCTTTTGTTTTTCAAATAAACAATAATATCTTGCTTTGTGTGTGTGTGTGTGTGTGTGTTTGTATCTTGCAACTATCACTGTAAACAATAATCAAAACCAGGAAAAACAAAGAATCTATCAGAAATAATGTATTTTAATTTAGTTTCTCTCTCACTTTATTTGATGTGCAATAGTACTAATTTGTCGATATGCGGACTCCCATGCAGGTTCTATCCAAAGATGAAGTTTGGTCCGATACTTGCATCAATTGAAGCCAAGGTGGTTCCTTGTGCCTTCTCTATTCTGGTCTTATTTAATGTTGAGAGTATATGTAATATTATTTTACCTGTAATGCAGCCTGGATATGGAGCTTCTGCTATTGACTTCCATATTACAAAGAGTAAAGCTCTAAGAGATAAAATTGTAAGAATTGCTCCAATTTGCTTCTTGTTTTAAACATGGTTCATGTGACAAAGTCCTAAACTTACTGTCCACCAGAAATTTCTGGAACTATTGCCTTCTTTTTATATACAAATGACTTGTCAATGTTCTTTTTTAATATTCTTATTAACTCGTGTGGTTTTAGTTCAAGATCACAACTTTTCAAACAAATGTGAACCTGTGAGTCCCTCTACTTTCAGGATAGAGTATTTCATGATTTGTTTATATATACTAAAATTTTTCATAGCATAATCCTTTTTTAATTATGATTAATACCTAATGATTTCTTAATGGAGGGACATAATCCAGGTGCTTGCTGAACTATGTTGAATGCCTTCAACTGTTCCTATATTTATAATTGAGCAGTTTATTTATTCTGCCGTACTTTTTCCTAGTTTCTTCAAAAAAAAAAAAATTGGTTTGGCTCCTTTCTCTTTCCTACCCTTTATCATTTGATGACATGGTCCACTTATCTTGCAACTATCTGTCACTATCTTATATGTTTTACTTTTTTTTGTCGATATTAATATATAATGATTTTTATTATTTAAATACATATGTTAGTTATTTTTTTTTTGTTGGCTTTTTATCTATAATTTTATACATCAAGTTGTATCATGTTTCAACTTGCAGTTTTTATTGGTTGCGCAAACTGATAACATTGAGACATCTGCATGCCTCATTAGTCCTCAGCAAGTGAAGTATGATTGCTTTTAACCTTCTTTTATTCCTCTAATTGTTCTAAATTGATACTGACTGACTTTTTTTAAAATTATTTTGTGCATATGTTGTAGTTTTCTCCTCAATGGGAAAGGAGTAATCAATAGGAATAATGTTCAAATGGTCTGTTTGTATTTTTCCTGTACATTCTAAAACATTTAGTTAACTTAAGACTTTTTTCTAGGGTGTGACATCAAAAGTTTAATCTGTCATTTTTGTTTCTCAGGACCCTGGACCACAAATGCCAACTAATGTGAATGGTATGCTTAAATATGGGACAAATCTTCTTCAAGCTGTGGGCCAGTTCAATGGTGAGCACTTAAGACTAGTGTTTTTTTTTCATCTGTCATTCTAGCTTCCACTATATTCATCTTACTGTGTTGTAACAAACTAACCATTATTATTGTGAAGGTCATTATGTTATACTTGTTGCCTATATGAGTGTTAAATCCTTGCCTGAGCATCCAGTTCTTCAGGATTATTTTCAGCCTGCTGTTACCTCTATTGATTCAGGTATCATTTAGACATTTAGGATGAACTGTAGGCTAAGAACTCAACATCTTTTTTTGGATTAGTTCACCATTCATAATTCATTGTTATCTTTTTTCCTTTTTGATTATTCGTTCTTACTATTCTACGTCCTTTTTCTTCCTAATTACATTTAGATATTATTGAGGGGCCATCACAAATTTCACTTAATTGTCCCATAAGGTATGCTGTGATTTTCTTTGTTCATAACTGTTGTCACTTTTTCTTTCTTGCTTTCTAGGCTTATCACCTATAGTTTAGGCTTATTAGTATTATAGATGGTAAATTTATTAGAAATCCATTCTCATCTCTCACTGTCTCTGAATACAACCCATTAGACAATATTGCCTGACTGACCTTGAACTTGGAAGGATGAGGGAGTTGTTCATACTCTTCTTTGATGGTCCAATAATGTTTTGGTTAAAATTAGTTGCCTTTGGTTAAGTTAGTGTTGAAATTTTAGTTAGAACTATATTTTCATTGCAGAAAGTCAGAGGTAGCAAATTAAAGTCATCTTTAGTTATCTGATTTCTAGTCTTAATTGTTGAAGATTATTGAGTCGGTGCTATTTTGTAATTTCAATATAGTGGCACTTATGTCCTATTTTTGCTTCTGTTAGATGTTCATCCATCTCTATGTCTTCCCTGTTGGGCTATGTTTAGATGTGAATGAACAATGAACAATGATCATGTGGCTGTCTTGTTCAAAGTACTTAATTGAATATCTAGTTTATTAATAAATTAACGTATTAAATATGTATTTGTGAAGTTTTTCTTTTATGATTTCAATTTTCCTAATGGTTTTTGCAATCAAATAACCATCATAATGAATATTATATTTCTTGATCTTTTCTAGTCTTAAAATCCTAATATTTCTCACCACATTTTAATGTTACTTTCTAACTTTGACCTTTTTTTCACTGCTACTAGTTGACTATATTGTTGAATGCTTGATAATTGGTTCTTCGTTATGTGGTTCTCTCTGCTTAGCAATTGGTATTAGCTTGTTTATTTTCATGTATGTCTTTGGTAAGGAACAAGCTAATTGGGCTTATGATTTTCAGACATTTGTAATAATTTTAATATCGATTTTTAGCATTAAGCCATTAGCTGTCATCTTTTGAAGTTTTCTTTGTCTTGCAAGCTTGATTTCTCTACAGATTTGTTAAAAGTTGATGATCTTGTGTCTTATCTTTACTAAACAGCTTTACTCGAATCAAGATTCCTGTTAAAGGGCATTCATGCAAACATTTCCAGGTGACTGATTCCTGCATTAGCATCAGTTGATGTGGAAAATGCTGAGGGTGGTTGCTAATTTATTTATTTGTATTGTGTCTTACCATAACTATTAATGTGGCTTTAGAAGTCTATTATATGCAATAAAGCACATCGTCACTGCCAAGGTTGTTAAATTTGTGATTATTGTTGTGTACCATCATCCTATAAGTTTTCATCCCTTTCTGTATTTAATTACAGGTGGGATTGCAGAACTGTAAGCTCATAGTAGGATTGCCAGGGCCCAGGGAAGACTCTGGAATTATGAAATTGACTGTGGAATATTTGTAAAAAAAAAAACATTTTTCTTTTTATATATACAAATAAATAAAGTTGTGTGTTTTTACATTTATGACTTATAATTTTTATTTCATTTGAGTTATGACTGTTCTACATGTTTAATTGAAATTTCATTAAATATTAGTTTTGATATTAATGTTATTTTACTTATGTTATGTATATATTTATTTATATTTTTAATAGGATCTTACAATTTGTTTTATGATCTTGCAATTTACATGGTTCCATCCATCTTCCAATACTAGGTATTATCCCAATTTTAACAACCTTGGTCACTGCAACTTGTGCCATTCTCCAGTATTTGGTTTGTAAAAAAGTGCTAAGATTTGCTTAAATGTCTGTAGAATAATACCTTATCTTAATAAAGTGAAATTTTATGATATGGTTAATGGCTTTAGGTCCCTCTGTGTTGTGTGTGTGTGTATATATATGTTTCTATATTCCGTTTGTTTCTTCCTCTCTACCTTACATATTTTTATTCTCTTGTATCTGTAGTGTTTTGACTTTGACAACTTCATTAATATGAATTCGAAGAGGCCATCCTGGCGCTGCCCTCATTGCAATCAGTATGTCTGTTATGCAGATATTCGTCTTGACCGAAACATGGTTGAGGCAAGTTGATTTACTTGTTCAATCCTTCAATTTACCTGTTTTTTTTTCTTGTACACGTGGGTCAGTTTAGTTATTGGTATCACCTTAAAAGTGGGAGTGAGAGTTGATTAGTTTTTCATATTAACCTTCATACCTAATCCCCCCTCCCCCAAATTTTCATGGGTACACCAAATTGACCCTGGGGGATAAATGGAAGGTTAAAGAGGTAAACTAATTTTTTTCTCTCTTTTTTAAATAAAGATCCTGAAAAATGTTGGTGAGAACATTACCGAAGTATTTGTCCTTGCTGATGGATCATGGAAGGCAGTTTTGGAGAAGGATCATGATGCAGATAAGATGCAGAATAAGGGCCACAATTGTGAAAAGGAACAAACAGCTCAACAAGAATCTACTTGCTCCCCTAGTACTGTTCCCAGTGTTCTTGACCTCACCAAAGATGATGATCATTTGGAGACAATGGACTCTTGTGAAATGACAGATAGAAAACCTTTCCGGGCACCTGTTCTTGGTCAGTTTGTAACCCCAGTTTCTACTTGCTTGGGTATGAACTCTGCTACTGTTAATCAAAATATTGCCACTCAAGTTCATACTGCCCGAGGTAGGTCTGACACCCCAATGTTTGGTGTGTCTGATGGTCCTGTTCTGCTCAATACAACAGCACATGCATGTCATCAGGAATCTGAGGGTCATGACAATAACACTGTTGTCAACTCTTCCATGCATAATCAATTTTCTGCACCAAACAATTTGCCGATGCAGTTGAGCTATCTGAATCCAGTTAACGAGTATGGGAGGTCGTCCACAGTGCCAAGAAATATTAATAGGACTCAACCAGCTGTTCAGGCCCTCCCAGCTCAACCTCAGGCATTGGGAGCACAGCAAAATTCAATAACTAATTTCAATAACTCCTTGCTACCCAGCAGTTCCTCTGCTACCCATATTTCTTTGTCCAACCCAGCCCCGAGAGATAGTTTCAATGCCTTGCTAAGTGATACAGAAAGACAGCAGCATTTTTCTCGACCCCCTATGAATCTGCCTCAGGTCTCAGGTGTAAATTCACCTGCTTTTCAGCATCAAACAGTAACGCAGGTTTGGTTTATTGTGCTTTATTATTACTTCTTTTGTATGGTGGGTGTTTTGCCAACGCATAATATGTTCAATCCGTACCTTAAGTGACTAATGCTGTTCTGTGTTGTGTTGCTTAATTTTTAAGTGTTGATTTCTTGTGTGATACCTTTTTAAGTGAGACATGACATCTGAAGCACTCTTCATAAAACAAAAATGTGCTGAACTTAAATTGTTCAAAAATTTGTTTTTGGATTATTGGGGTTAACTTCTTTTAATCCAAAAAAAGGTCAGTGGGAGGTAGGAGAGTTGGTCCATGGAAGAATGAAATAGTGATATTGGTTTGTCCTTTTTGAACAATTAATATAGATGTTAACGGAACTGCTGGAGATTTGAGCATGTCCTATTTTATTAGCTCGGACAGTCGGACTCCTGAATCGACATTTTTATATGGTTTAAACACTCGAGCAAACACTTCTACATGGATAGATACACATTAGTATTAAATAAAATAATAATTTTCATTTAGATCTTTTGTTTATGTGTGGTGTGTGTGTGAGATGTTTCTTTGTCCTATATTTTGCACATTAGCTGTGTTATGTGCAGTGTCCATGTTAAAATCTGTGCTTCATAGATGGAATGTTTTTCACAGTTTAGTTGAAAATCATTAGAAGAACCTTTCCTTCGTGTTATTTTGTATCTGTGGCTCTCGTATTATCTCTTTACTTTTCATTGAAATCAGAGCCCATTCAGACCACATGGTTCGTTGACTGATTTTAGCAATCCACACCTGCATCAAGCTTTGAATTCCCGGTCACACATGGCAAAGCGATCATCAAATACGCAAAGGTCCCACATTCAGCAAGGCGGTTCACAATCTGGGATGATTCAGGCGCCTGTGGCTGCTGCAATTAACCTACAAAACAGAGTTATTCCTTCTGCATCGGCTTCCAGACAGGGTAGTTCCCAAGCTAGGACTGCTCAAACAGCTGGAGCTACTACACATAACCATCAAGATAGGGTTATGTATCCTACCCAGGCCACCAGACAGTCGCCATCTGTTTCAGTTCAAAATCAAACCACCGTAGCGGGCACATCCTTTGCAACTTGCATCCCGGGGTTGACAGGAGCACAAAGAGCAAATCCAGCAAAGTCTGTTTGTAGGCCTGATGAGTACTTCAATTTGCAATCAGGACAGAATCGGCCTCCTCCACGAATGCGCGGAAGTATAGATATAACGGACGTAAATGAATCAATTACGCAGCGAATAATTACGCCAACACAACCAGTTCAAAGTTCAAGGCCACAAGCTTCACAACAAGTTCCAAGTTCAAGGCCACAAGGTTCACAACCAATGCGACCAACCAGTGGGATAAGCCGATTGGATGCGCTTAATGCAAACATAAATGCCCATAATTCTTCGAGTAGATAATATTTCTGCAAGGTTCCACTTGCACAGTTAGTAGAGTGATTGGGGATTTATTTCAATTTTAAAATCCCTCTCGTCTCCCTTAAAAAAATTAAGTAGCTGGTTACCACAACCATTAAAGGGTAAAAACTGAAAAACAAATCATAATAGTTTTACCAATTTTTCTCGACCATCAAAGAAAATATCAAGGATAATGAAGAGAGTGAGAAAAAAACAGAGTCTTCCAGATTTACTAAAAGCTTTTAAACATGGATTTGGATACGTTTTTTTAATCCTTATGTGAAAATCATTAAATTTAAGATTTTTACGGATTTAATAATTTTCTGAATTATAAATTTAGAAAAAAATTACATCTAATGTTGTAAATACTATTATGTGAGCGCTGCATAAACATGGATTTGGATACGTTTTTTTAATCCTTATGTGAAAATCATTAAATTTAAGATTTTTACGGATTTAATAATTTTCTGAATTATAAATTTAGAAAAAAATTACATCTAATGTTGTAAATACTATTATGTGAGCGCTGCATTGTCAACCCTTTTTATGCGTGGGCTGTCAATACAGTTATGTAGTAGCAATATATGAGGAATTAACTACTATTTTGAATATAATCAGACATTTGTTAATTTTGTTAACCACGGAGAGAAGTTGAAAAGGGAAAGCAATCTTTGAACACTGTCATGCTTGAAAGCAATGTTATTTGGGATATATTTTGTTGAATTTGAATAAATAAATAAATAAATAAATACAAAATAGAATATTGTAAATAAAAAGTATGTATACCAAATTGTAATTAACTTACTATAATAAACTAAAACAATATGTACTATTTTTTTATAGCTAAATATTTGTCAAATTTACAAAAAATTATTGAGCTCTGCAAATTTAATATGCTTGTAACTCATTTTATAAATTAAATCTTACAATGTCCCTAATAGTAGTTAGCAAAAAGAAGAAACCTATTGCATAAATAAATTGTTTTAGATTAGGTAAATTTCTTAAGTTCACTTCATACATAAAAGTTAGCACAATACAATTGGACATGATGCAGTTTGAGTGAATTTACAGATAAATCCTTATGAGGAAAAAAATTATTTGATTTTAATTTATGAAAATAGTTTGATTTATTTTATTATTTAATTTTGACTTCTATTAATATTCATGGAGAAATTTATATTAATATTCATGGAGAAATTTATATAAACTCAAACCATATTCTTTAAATTTTAACTTCTTCATTTACCCTCTTTTTGGTTAAAAAGTGTTTTTTTTTTTATTTTTAAAATTTAAATTGATGAAAAGATAGAAAATAATATATTTATTACAAAAAGAAGAAAGAAAAAAAATGTTTACTTTTTACTATTCTTTCCTTTCATCCAAAGATCATTAGGGTCTATTTAGTGCATAAAATTGTTCAAAATTACAATTTCAAAGAATTAAAATAAATCTGAATTTTAGTTGTGCTAAATATAATGACTTTAGGTGGTTTTGGCCACCAATAAAAAGTTAGAAGGGCGACTAAATTACGGGTTACGGTTACGGGGGGCATTTAACATTCACCTGTATTGCCTCCCAATCTATTGCTTCAAATGGGCGTATAGCATAATAAACTGTCCGTTAATCTAATAAAAAGGTCGCCTATCCATGGCATCTAATTTAGACAATCAAATTACGAGCATTTGACATGCCTGTGTTGTGACGCCATCACAGACATCTCAAAATTCAAATGTCGAACTTATAAGGCGACATATTTGATGCTGATCTTCATACTTAATATTTCCAATCCGCAATTTTAAAAAAAATTCCAAAAAGAATTTAAGAACTGACAATTCAGTTTTCATCACAAGTCTACCATTAATTATATCGTGATATACCGACAAAATAAATCCACTTTCACAGCAAATGCAAATTAGGTCATTCTCCCCGCAAAATAATTTAGCTTACACAAACAGTTTAATAACAAGAATAAGAGATTATAGAAATTATTTTCCCTTTTACATTTTTTTGGGCCGGCGGGAGGGGGGATTAGAGGAGACGAATTTAATTGCTCACAGGTATCAGCTTAACATAAATATTTGAGTATCGAATCAATACTCCCATTTTTTTAACTCCATACCTTCTGGAGGACTGCCTACCACCTTCTTTGATCCCACTTCTTTCCAATCAGTTGACAGCACTGTTCCATGTGACTCCAACTACAAAAAAAGAGCAGTTCAATAAAAGAGAATGGGCAAAATTTTAATGATTTTCCAGAAAACTAAGCACAATTGATGAAAACTATGTGGATATCTCACATAAGACTTGCTCATAGCTCTCCTCATGTCCTCATCTGCATTTTGGTAAATATCACGGAACAACTTATTCAAAGCAGCATCACCATCAAGCTTTTCTTCTTTCTCCTGGAAGGCAGACCGCCATAATGTCAATATTATTAAAAGCAGTCTAATATTGGTCCACAAGATGATGCACAGATCCCCTTTGCTCTTGAGGTACTCTTAGATTTTTGTTATAAACAAATATTAAATAGGTTACATTTTAGGTCCTCCAATTTAACTAAAATTTGAATTTGGTCCCCTGTCCAATTTAATATCCTACAGTTTTCACGTTAATGCAAATATTGCTGGCAAGAAATTGAGCCACACCATCTCAACATCAGAAAGGTAATTACAATATCAATCAACAAAGAAATTGCAACAATTAGCCAATTTCGCTGACATAAAACTATTGTTGATGTACAGACAAACAAGCACATAAAGGAAATTAATTGCGTAATCTAAAACTATAAAGGCAACATTATAAAAATTGGAACTACTGGATAAAATGGAACTTTTATGAAATAGAGCCCAAATTATCTCAAATAAAAGGAATAGGTGGCAAACCTCTTTTTTCACTTGGGCTTCCAACTTATCCCAATCTCTTGTCCTTGGCTTTGACGATGGGTATGTGGGCCTTTCAGATTGAACTGCATAAACACAAATCCAGAGTAAGTTCATCATCAGGAAAGTAACAGCATGCTAGTCACATTTCTCACCTATTCCAATAAGACAAAAGGATAAACTAAAAAATAGTCATCTTACCTATAGGCATATTTATTTTTTGGGGTAGTGTATCCTTGCTATATTCCAGAGATGTCCAATTAATAGCTTCAGCTTTTGTAAGACGGATTTCAATTTTGGTTGACAACACCTCAACTTTGCACTTATCAGGTATTATCTGTTTCTCGTGCAGAAGGGAAAAGAAGGTTAAGTTACTAAGCAGGCAATCAATAATGGATTTAAAGTATTTATGTTGCCTGAGCCCAAAGCAATACAAATCTTATTTTAGATTGAGAAAAAAAAAAAACAAGTAGTTGTATATTGATTAACAGTCACCCGTCACACAAACGCTGATATTAATTAGATAGCACCAGCCTATATCCCAAACACTTCACTCAGATATTTAAAGTCATATGCAAATGTACATAAAGCAAAGGAATTCGTCAAAAGAACAAGCCACTTGAATTCCTGGCCATAATAAAAAAGATAAATCTTTTAAATGCAATTCTTACTTGACCAAGTTATATACTATAGTGCCTGCAATGTTCAAAATAAAAGAAATCATTTCATTACCAAATAAATTATAGTGCAAAGCCTGCTTAGAAAAATACAAATTTAAGATTTTGATTCATTTACAAAGTTTAAGGATTTGTAAAACAATTCATTCCAAATAAATCCATTAAAATTCTATAATCCAAGTGTTCCAAAACAGGATCAAGGAAAAGTATGAGGAAATGACAGGGACCGCTCAGTACCCACACAAAAAGTGTTTTCTATTATCCAATGTCTACATGATGGTGAAACAAGCACACAACCTCAAGGTGGACACAGCAGCATCTTTTTGTCATGGTCATGGCACTCCTCTATTGCATGCAATATTCAAGATAGTACATCACCAAGCAGGCAAGCACAGACAAGTGAACACTTATTTGTTACCTTCCCAAACAATCGAGGTTGATAATGATAGGCATCTTGGCCAGGAACATCAATAGTAACACTAAGCTGCAATGTTAAAGTACTTCAAGTTATATGGCGAGTTATATATGTAATATATGAGGAAAACAAGCAATAGTAGGTAAAGGGTAGCATCCATTATATAATTTATACATACAATCTGTTCACCAAAGTCAACAACCACATCCTTTGCTCTTATTCCTTTTGCAAATATTGTCACAACCACTTCATCCGGCTTCTGGTAGTATTCATGTCTGCTTAAGCATCAATCAACAGGTATCCAAATAGTTGAGGAAGCAATTTCAACCAACATGCAAAGAATTATACATGGACACAAGAGAGACAGTCAGACAAAAAAAAAAAAACAAACAATTCAATAATTTATCATTGTTGCAAGATACATCAACAGAGTGCACCACCAAGACTCCTAGACCCTAGTGCATGTTGGAAAAGCACCTTTCATGGAAAAAATAATAATTTAACAAATTACAGGAAGCTTTTGATTAATATTTTTTTGTTTGACCCATCTAATAAGCTTAATCAAAGCATGAACCTATTATATAATCTTAAATTATCATACAAAATGTACGTGTTTCCTCCAACATCTATCTTTGGGGGTTTGAAAGTGAAAAAACGTGGCAAATAGTGCCCTAAGTGTATTGGACTATTGGTTAAGAAATCATAAGTGAAAAGCTTTTAGTAGATAATGTTATTAACACATCCCCCCCCCCCCCCCCAAGATTTCCATTGCATCTCAACGTAATTTCTAATAAAAACATTTCATTTATAAATTTCTTAACTAGTATCCTAAAGACATTAGTTAACAAGACCCAAAAAATAATTAAAAGCAGGCGAGAAAAAAAAAAAGACAGAAACAAGTTATCTCACAGAATTAATAGCAGATTGAATGGAATTATGATGCCAGTCAAACTTCTTTATAATTTAATGAGCTAAGAAATAGCAGCATGGATTGAAGAAGGGGAAAAAAGTTCTAACCTGTATTTTGGTCTGTTTGGGGCAACTTCATTGATTTGGGATATCGAACTGTCTCTTTCAGCTTCTTTAGGTGTCTCATCATTTCTATCACACAAATGGGAATCATTACCAGATGGTACAGATGTTGCGCCATTTGATGATAAGGTGCTAGTAACACCATTTGATTCCTCTGGTAAAACAGGAGACATCACACACACCCATCATATAGTTGTCAAGCTCATAATGAGGAAAGAAGGTAGTCAAAAATGCTAAAACATACGATTTGCAAAACAGAGAATGATGAGAAAGTATGAACAGCATAACTTCTCAATTACAAAAATTTGCTAACCACAAAAGCTAACAAGAAATCATTTCAACAGACTATCTATAGTGTGCAATATCAGATTGTGTATGCAAGCTTGTACTCATCACTCATTATGCCACACATAGAGCCATATGCAAATTTCACACTTGACTATCTAAAATCTATAAACCTAATACAAAACTTTCCACACTCATTAACCCCGATAGAAAAGCTTATCGCCACTACAATTAAACTGACTCATCCAATTTTAATCATTAGTCACTGCACAAACACTTGCAACTTCAAACACCCAAAAAAACACACACCTGCGATATATCGATCACAGTCTTGAATCAACTTGATGAATCTGGAATCATCCTGTGCAAAAGAGGCACCGTTTTGTAGTGCTACCTTTGCAGTATGATATTCTTCTAGTTGAATACAAGCAGTCCTGTAAACGGCAACAGCATTGATAAAAGAAAACGATGCATAAGTTGATTCAATCGAAGCATAATTGAAAAAATTGAGAACAGAGGAAAAGAAAGGCATAAGAATTTTAGATAGAAACGAAGAGCTTACGCTTTACGAAGATAGGCTTTGGGCAATGAAGGGCTTAATTGAATAGCTTTGTTTGCATCGGAAACGGCTTCTGCTTATGAAAACAAAAAAAAGGAAAAGTGAGTGAGTGAGTGAATGAATGAGATAAAGGGAAGATAAAGAAAGGAGCGAACCAGGGAAAGCCTTGAGCTTAATATGGGCTTGGGCCCGGTCGGCAAAGAAATGGGCGTTGTTGGGTTCCAATTGGATGGCTTGAGAGTAGAGATCAACGGCAAGAGCGAAGTCGTCGTCAAAGAACGCTTCCTTGGCTTTCTTCTCCAGCTCCTTCGCCATTCCAATTTCTGATTGTCGTTGACGTGCTTCCACGATATTCTTTATTCTTATTATCAAATAAAATAATTATAAAATTATAAATATAAATGGAGAGGCAGTGTTCTAGACCCTTCTTCTCTTCATTCCTCCCTTCACTATTTTTATTTACAAAACCCTATCACGCCTTTCTCCACTTCCGCCCTCTCCTCCCTCTCTATGCTGTCGTTCTGCAGATACTGTATCTTCTTCTTTTTTAATTATTATTTACCTCCACAAATTAAATTAAATAGCATCATATCTATTTTTTTTTATATTTAATGTTTAATTTAGTTTTCAATTTTTAAGGTAATGATTTTTTTTAAAAATATATGTTAATTTCAGTTCTTAAAAATAAGAATGAAACATTAATAATAGTAAATTTTTATTTAAAATATTTATTATACTTTTATGACTTTGATATAACAAGTGTACTTAAAATACAATTTTTGTATTTTTAAATATTTAAATGATAAATTAATTTTTTTTTAAAAAAAGTTAATTATTAATAGTGAAATTTTATTAAAAATATTAATTGTAATTTTATAATTTTAATATAATAATATTTATAATTTATTTTTTTTACTTTTGATGTTTAAACTCAAACTTAGAAATTAGAATTAATAATTTTTTTATATAAATTAAACTCTAATTGATTTTGCTTGATATTTCTATTTTATATTATATGTTTAAAGATATATAATAAAACTCATGTATAGTAAAATATTACTATGATTAATAATAATATATTATAAAATTTAAATATTGTAAATTTTAATAATAAATTGAATTTTTTATTTTTGAATATGTGTCTTTAAGTATATGTTAAAGAAATTATATTAAATATTGCTATCACCAAAAAAATTTATTTTACTTTTTGGTAAAGTTGGATTTTGTTGATAAATTAAATTTTAATATATTGTTAATGTAATAGCTCAAAAATAAGGATAACAAAATGAGTGGTCTAATTTAATTTATAAAAAAAATACAGCAGAATAAACTGGAATAAGCAATCTCACTTAGCTAGCAAGCCAATCGAAAGTTATATGCTAAAAATAAAAATATGTTACACTTTTAAAAAAAATAAAATTAAATTAGGTAGGTTAGTCCGTTAGTCCACTTTTTTTTAACCTTTAGCAGGCTAGTTATTGCTAACCCATTAACAAGATGAATAAGCTTTACTGGCCCATTTTCAAAAGAGAACTGACTTGGGCCATATCAGTTTTCTTTTTACTGTGACAGACTTGTTTTGTCACTCGTATTTGAAAGTAAAAGTTAAAATACAAAAAGAAAGTAAGGTTGTTTATCATTAAAATGAAGATATAACTCATTATTTTAAGACAACTGTATCCAAACACGCTCCATCTACAAAATTGTATAAAGTTTTAAAAAACTGTTTTAAGAAAGTGGTATATGATTCGAACTGTTTTACAAATGTTCGTGAAGTATGTGCCAGTTATATTGATTCAAGCACACAAGGTAACAAGTCATCGTACGTTCATAATGAGGGTATCAAAGTATCTTAATCACCGTGCTGGCACTTGGCAATGGAAGCTCACGTTGAATTTAACTATATTACAATAGATAAGTCATAGCGTCTAAGTGGAAGATTTTGATTGCAAAAACGTGTTATGTCATTTTATAAACAAATAATAAACATAAACTCAGACTGGTTTAGTTTTAGATAAAAAAATAAAACCTTCAATAGAAGATAGTTAATTATGGCTCAATGAAGACAAGCAGTAGAAAAATATACGTTGAATAAAAGTCAAATACGTACCATTACTTTTATTATATTATATAGTCCAACTATAAAGCCCTTAAAAAAATAAAGATAAAAGGCTCATACAAATATTGATGGTAGTTAGACATTACTCCAAGAAATAACCCAAACAGTTGGATATTCCTCGTAAACAACTTGGACTCGACACAATTCCTAGTGCAGAGATTACCACCGTTTCAGTAGTTTTATATATATACTGGGAAGGTGAACCGTGTGATGTACGTATAAATTATTATGTTATAGTATAATATTATAATTATTTTTAATTTAATAATAAATAAATACAATAATTCCTCGTATTGATCACGTCTTCGAATATAGAAAGGTTCTCAACCCTCGTTGTCCTGAACCCAGATTATCCAACTCAAACCAATTTTTGTTCTTCTACCTAGTTGACTTTTCTTTCTATGTGAACATGATTTTTCTATGCGACCTTTTGCGAGTTCAAAACAATAATTATGATTAATCACATGGAGAAAGCCCAATCTTTATTCATTAGTAAAAACTTCAAATCCTATATTCTTTAATATTTGTTTAAGTAAATGATTAGTAAAATAAAAGACATAGATAGAATAAGAAAAATAAAGTAAAACATAAATAGTATTTGTGTGGATAGCGCAGTAGGAATTTATTTATTTATTTATTGTTAAGCAAAGGGGCTAAAAAGTCCAAAATAAAAAGAACTTACAAAGATGGTTTAAGAATCCAAATTCCAACTGAGTGCAGACTCAAGAACGGATCCAAGGATTGAGGGGCATTAACAAAACAGTAAAAGTGGGCACTCTCCTCTATCCCTATTTTAGCCGGTCCATCAATACATTGTTTGGTATCTCTCAAAACATGGCTAAGTCTAGTGAAGTGGATACATTTCAATGTCAAAAGAAAGGGTCTCACATCAGAAATAACAAAGAATCCCTACGTTATGCAAGTAGCTAGGTGGTATGGCCATATCAATATCGACGGTAAAACAAAATTAATTTTTGAATATTTTATCTATCTAAGAATAACTTTTAATTAATTAACGAAATATAATGCTTATAAATGAGGTGATTATTGTCATAAAGTAATCCTTATAGTGCCATTAGTTTTTAATAAAGTCCAACTATATAAAGCATTAAAAAAATTAAGATAAGAGGGACTTAGAAAAGCAAATATTGATGGTGGTTAAACTTGAACTTGTAACAATAAAAAATAAATACATCTGAGGACTCATACATGGTCGTTAGACTTGACTTCATAAAATAACCCAAAAGTCATATAAACACGTTATGAAAGGGACCAACATCACAGTCACACCCTATACACGTACACATGCAGCAACCCAAACGCATGCTTCCATGAGTAGAATGACTAGTAAAACCGGGACACGACATGTCACAAAGGGAAAGAGCGCAGACGCTTCAAATTTTTGTTTGGATCCGAAAGAAACGCGTTACACATAAATATCACTCGGAAGTGAGGACTATATTAAATGATTTTTGGCTTAGAAAACGTGATTTTAATGCTGAAAATAAATTAACACTCTTTAGTAGCTTAATCATTTATTTTAGAAGCTGGACTGGACTCTATAAAAGGAGGGGAAGAAGGAAGCATGAGGTATAAGTCCTCAGTATCATCTTATCTGCTCTACCTATAATTTGTAGTTTCTCATATCACTCTCGAGAGGTATATATTAATTAATAATGCGTTTGCTGATCTGCTCTGAATTATATGTGTGTGTGTGTGTGTTGATTCAAATAAATCAAATTGAAGATGTTAAATTAGTACGTTCCTAACACATTTCATTAATTTGTCTTTGTTACAGTTAGCTAGCTTGAAGAATAATCGATATTCAAAGATGATGGATATTGGTGCAAGTAGTATACTGATGGTGGCGTTGGCATGCGTCGTGATGTATGTTGTTGTGGGTTCACTGCAAGCAAGAAGCAACCAGCTTCCACCGGGACCTTCCCTTCTAACCATAATGAGAAACTCTTTCGATTTGTACCAAAAGCCACAACAGACAATGGCTAAGCTTGCAAAGTTGTATGGGCCAATAATGCGTTTGAAGATAGGGCAAGCGACGACCATTATAATCTCTTCAGCAAATGCGGCAAAAGAGATCCTCCAAACCCACGATGTGTTATTCTCAGACAGAACAAATCCTGATATAACAACAGCTTACAACCACAACAACTATAGCCTTGTGTTTCTCCCATATTCACCCTTATGGCAAGAACTAAGGAAGATATGCCATGGCAATTTATTCTCCAGAAAGACCCTTGACGCAAGCCAAGACCTTAGGCGCAAGAAACTTGAAGGACTCCTGAATGATATCCGTGAAAGCAGCCTTAAGGGTGAAGCAGTGGATGTGGGAAGAGCTGCTTTCATGACTTGCATTAACTTTCTATCGTACACTTTTGTCTCTCAGGATTTTGTTGAGTCTGTAGGGAACGAGGAGTACAAGCACGTTGTGGGAACTCTCCTGAAAGCAACCGGGACACCTAACTTGGTGGATTATCTACCAATGTTGAGGATGTTTGATCCACAAGGCATTAGAAGGCACACCACTAATTACATTGACAAGTTGTTCCACATCTTGGACCCCATAATTGACGAAAGGATGAAGCTCAGAAAGGAGAAGCATTATGTCACAAACAACGACATGTTAGACGTCTTGCTTCAAATTTCTGAAGGGGATAGCCAGAAGATGAATAGGAAACAGATCAAGCATTTATTCCTGGTATGTATATGTGCATGCATGTTTTCTTCTCTAGCTCTCTCTTTTTGATCCATGCATGCGACTAATGAATATATGTAATTAATTAATTAATAGGATCTTCTTGTTGCGGGGACTGATACAACAGCATATGGATTAGAAAGGACAATGACCGAACTAATCCACAACCCAGAGGCAATGGCAAAGGCCAAAAAGGAGTTGGAGGAAACGGTTGGAATAGGTAATCCGGTTGAGGAATCAGACATTGGAAGACTTCCATATTTGCAAGCAGTGATAAAAGAGAGTTTGCGTTTACATCCACCAGCACCACTTTTGCTCCCCAGGAGAGCCAAGATAGATGTGCAAGTGTGTGGCTACACAATCCCAAAGGGTTCCCAAGTCCTTATCAATGAGTGGGCCATTGGTAGGAACCCAAACATATGGGATAATGCACATGTTTTTTCACCAGAAAGGTTCTTGGGTTCCGACATTGATGTCAAAGGTCACAATTTTCAGCTCACCCCATTTGGCAGTGGTCGTCGTATATGCCCTGGCTCCCCTCTTGCTATTAGAATGTTGCATTTGATGTTGGGTTCATTGATAAACTCTTTTGATTGGAAGCTTGAAAACAATCTCCATCCAAAAGACATGCACTTGGATCAACCCCTCCGAGCTATTCCACTCTTGGTCAACAGCACCTCAAACCCTATATAATAAT